ATGGTAACACAAAATGTTACAGCATATGACCAAGCCAGTCAATTTGATGTTAAATTTATGTGGGCTCTTCTTTTCGAGCAGCATTAAGTTTGATAGAATATTAATAAAGAAACTGCTTTAGATGTCATTAACAACAAGAGCCTGCCTTGAAATACGTGGAACCAAGCACTGGCTCCATGTATTTCTTAGGCAGATCCCAATTAGACCCGCAATTTGATCCCTGGGGAGTGATGTATGACTGATGCCAGGGAAGGCTAATCTGTTCAGAAGGCTGGAGAGAGAGATGGCATCAAAGGCAACACTCAGAGGGATAAAAACGGAGAGAAGCCAGAATGTAGAGGTTATGATTACTTGTATGAGTATGAAGAGGAGAAAGACAAAAGACGATGAGGGCTAGAGAGGGGAGGTTGGTGGTTTTGATTTAAATTAATTTTTGTTGCATCAACTATGGCAGGAAAAGTTAAACTAGTATGGTAGACAAAGAGGGGAACAGGGGGTCTCATTGACAAATGACAGGTGTTAGACAAGAGTTGCCAAATGCGGATAAGACTTCTGAAATTTAGAGATAGAAAAAGGACATAATGGAGTTGCAGAATTCATCAGCACATATAAGAAGAGTAGATGGGGTGAACTAATGGTGTTAAGCAATGGGAAAAAACTTGTAATTGCATTCATTTAGGCAGACAAATCTAGAGTACTATGATGACTTAGTCAAGGCAATGCAGTTTGTTTGTACAAAATAAGATTATTATAAATGTATTTACGTATGGTCAGTCCATAGAGGCTTCTTATTTGATGTCCTTTATTCTTAACATGGCGTGGGGTGGACATGAACCATGGAGATGAGTGGGAGGAGACAAATCAGTGTTTAGACATTTGTGGAGATTCGTGTTATAGAAGAAAACCAGATCAGCAGGGGTAAAGATGCTGTGGGTGCATTATGGTGAATCACAATGTGTCCAGGTTGTCTTTGAATTGTCAGATGTGTTCAAATGCAGCCAACAATTTTGACATGATGAGGAAGTGTTTTAACTTCATTATGACGTCTTCTAGCCTGGTATAGTCTGATCACGACCCATACGGAGAACTCAGTCGTGGGGCGGGATCTACAGTTGTCTTTCAAAGTGTCTCCGCATGCCATTGGACAATGATCAACAAGACATGCTCACCGCTACGGATCTCAGTCAATGGGGCAGTCCGTCATACATTGTTGAAGACTCATTTACATCTTTTTCTAAATAAAGGATTAAATACCGCTATCTGCTCTAGACTCAAAGAAAAACCCAAGTCTAAATAGTCCAAAGTTGAAGCCAAAGCTCGTTCAAACAAGCTGCCGCCATCTTAGTTGTTCCGCTCCTTTGTATCAACCCACCCACCAAACCAATAGAGACTGTGATTGGCCCACCAAACCAATAGATCAGGGCTATTCAATTCTGAGCCTCGAGAGCTGGTATCCAGCACGTTTTAGTGGTTTCTCTAGTCCGACACACTAAATTTAGTTATTGAGTCACCTGTGCAGCAGCTCATCAGGCTCTGCAGAAGCCTGTTAATCACCTGCTCATTGAAATCAGGCATGTTGAAGCAGGGTTAAAACTTAAATGTGATGGATACCGGCAGGGCACGGAATTGAAATGCCCAGCAATAGAGAGTTGTGATTGGAATAACACAATACTGCTCAGGCCAATGGTAGACCTGCTGAGGCTAGACTGACATGCAAAGAAAGAAAAGAAAGGATTAAAACGATCTTTTATGTAGCGCCTCTCAAGATGAAAACCACAAGGCACTTCATAAGAGCAAAAAATTTAAAATATAAAAAAGATTTTTCTAAATGATTTAAAAAATATGGATAAAATAAGAAAAACTAAAAATTGTGATTGAAAATGTAAGGAAAGGAAAAGAGAAAATGAATAGGAAAGAGGGAAATCAGTAGATCCTTGGAAAGGCCCTAACGACCAGGGGCCTCATTTATCAAGCTTGCTTATGCACAAAACGGGGTCGGAAAACTGCATAAGCAACTTTCCACGCAAACGTTGGGATTTATGAAAGAATGTGCACAACTTTAAGTTGACTAAGGACCTGGCTTACGCACATTTTGGACATGGGGAGCACCTGCAGAGCTGTTGCCGAGAAGGATAAAATTATGAAATCCTGCAGCATTATCACTTGTACTGCTTCGTGCGCACACAGAACAAGCCCCCCACATGCCTGCGCGCACATACACACACACACAGCCTGAAGCGCAGAATACGGAATGCAGAATATCAGCAGGGGGACAGATTGAGACAAAATGTCATGCATCTGTGACAGTGTGCGTCCTGTCACTGTGACCCGATTGATCATGCACCCTGGCTACTTGAACAGGGGAGATCTCAGTTTGGCTGACTGGTTAGCGCGCGTGACTTTCACCCGAGAGTCTGGGGATCGAATTCCGGTTGGACCATTTTTTTTTTATAACCGCCACAGATCTCTCTGAAGAATCCACAACATTGACAGCTTCAGCAACGCTGTGCCACTCTGTGGATTTTCTCTTATTTGTTTTGCAAAAGCACTTCCTTTCATTTCTCCACCTCACCCAGAAGTATCTCAATTTCTGCTTCTGTGAAATTGCACCTCCTTGATCTGCCTTGATCTACGGTCACCAAGTCATTGGCGGAGCGCTGCAACAGCCGGCTTATGTATATGCAGGAGATCCACAAGGCACTTTGCATTGACTATTTATGGCAGTAAGTGGGCGTGGTGAGGGCGGGATGTGACTAAAAAGCAGCTGAGAACCTTTTAGATAGTTTCTGATTTATGAAGCGGAGATTGCGTGCAGCTGTGCGTACTCCATGTTTGATGGATCACAAACCTACTTGGCGGAAGTACTTTTTTTTTTTTTTTGCTGAGCTTAAGTACGGTTTTAGTAAGGATTCTACGCAATGTTTGATAAATGAGACCCCAGAACCAGGATCTTGGAATGAATCCTGAAGTCTGGGGCACAGATGAGGATCTAAGTCTTATTCAGCTGTAGAAAATTCCCAGCCATCCAGGTAACTTTAATAAGAGTCTAAGCAGGTGTGTAGCAGCTGCTGCTTAGACATATCATGGGGCTTAAAGGAGATGTACAGTCGGATGTCATCTGCATAAAGATGGTAGAAGATTCCTTTAAGAGGTCAGGATGTGCTGAAGAGGAAGCAGATAGGAAGGAGTAACAGTAGAGGCACCAGCACAGAATCTTGCAGGACACCATGGGTGAGGGAGGTGGTAGGGGACCGAAATGTGGAGACAGCCACTGAGGAGCACTCAGACAGAAGAGAGAAGAACCACTCCAGAGCAGTTTGTGATAGACCTACCCAGTGTCTCAACCTATCCAGTAGCAGGCGATGGTCAACAGTGTCAAAGACTGCAGTCAGGTCCAGCAAGACAAGAACAGAACAGTCCCCTGCATCACTGTGGGTCAAAAGGTCATTAGAGACCCTAAAGCCTGCCGCACACGAGAGCAAACAGCCTCGAATGACTGGTAGCTCAGCAGATACCTCACTGAATGTGTGTGAAGAAATGAGTTTTCCACCTCACGAAACGCGGAGGTGAAAATCAAACCGGTTTGATATTTTCTGCCACAAGGGAGGTAAAAACTCACCATGTGCACACTACATGAGCTGCCGGCTGAGCTGAAATATTCTAGTGACCACAACAGTGATTCGAGGCAGTTTGCTCAGCAGTGAGCTCCCGTGTGCCGCAGGCTTAAAAAAAAAAAAAAGAAGAAGAGCTGTTCCAGTAGAATGAGCTCTACGAAAACCTGACTGGAAGCTATCATAGATGTTATGTACATCAAGAGCAGCTGTGAGTTGTTAAGCCACAACCTTTTCCAATATCTTGAAGATGAACAAGAGTTTAGAGATGGGTGTGAAGCTGCTATGGAGAGAGGGGTCAAGACTCGGATTTTTAAGAAGCAGGTGGACTACAGCGTTAAAGTAAGCAGGGATCTGACCAGAAACCAGAGAAGCATTAATTACACAGAGCACGCTGAGACCGATGGACTGAAATGTATTTTTCAACAAAGATGAGGGTAAGATGTCAAGGGGGCATGCAGAGGTCTTCATAGAGTTAACTAGTTTGGTTAACTCAGGCAAAGAAACAGGAGCAAAGCTATCTAGGCTGACAGGCCGGGTTGGAGTCGGGAGAGGCAGCGATAAGGCTGAAGGAGAGATGCTAGATCTAACCTTATTGACTTTGTCCACAAAGAAAGACAGAAAGTTCTCACAGTCTGCAACAGAGTGGATGGAGGCTGTAGGAGAGGCAGGAGAGACGATGCTGCTGATGGTGTTAAACAGCACCTTGGGGTTCCCTTTGCTCTGGGACACCAGGTTGGAAAAATAGGCAACCCTCGTGTCTTGTTCAGCAGTCTGTGACTGCAGAGCTAAAGGATGTCAGAAGGTCTTTTAGATGCAGCAGACGGACGTGGCGACAGGTTTTCTTCCATGAGCGCTCAATTTTTCTGCATTGGCGCTTCAGGCTGCGAATGCTGTCATTAAACCAGGGAGTAGGGTTCACTGCAGGAGCTGATCTGGTTCTGACAGGACTGATGCTGTCCAGGATGAAGAGGCAGTGCTCGTTAAACCGAGAAGTCAAAGCAAAATTATTTTGCTTTGGCGACTGTCCGTCTAGATATCTAGGCTAGAAGTCTTCTGCTTTGGTGATAAAGCTGTGATTTTACACATTTACAGCCTAGACAGGTAGCCTGTCCCCTCTCAGACACCTCTGACCCATCTTCTATGAGCTGTGTTTTATTAGACCCACAATTTATGCTCCTGAATGCAAGAAGAGTCTTTAACATTGTTTTGTTCACTAGAAATGACTAAAGTTTAACTAACAGTCACAAAAGTCCCGTTTTAACTTTATTTTGAGCAAATAAACATAAACGACACAAAAGTAGTTATGAGATTCTGGATTTCGCAAAGACACATTTCTGGGAAGCTGAACAGTTTGAACCCTTTCCCATCAGCTCAACAAGCTCTCAC